TGGACTTGTTTGTGAGAGATGATGGAAGAAGGTAAATGAAAGTGGAGAGCCAGCTTGAGGTGGTGCATAGGCAGACAGGACAGCAGAGAGCTGCCCCAGGAGATAGCTGTGCAGCGGCCTGGTTTTCAGCGTACTAAGTGTTCGGGTGTAATTTCAAGCCCTTTTCCAAACTGTGATGTACAGAGCTTGGCCCTTCTTTTATTGGAGATACTGCTTCAGTTTGTAACAACAACAATAAAAAAATGCTTCAGACATCTGCTTGTATAAATGACTGCTGCTCCTTTCATTGATCTGAATGGGTTAAATTGTTTGTATATAATAAATGATTTAGCAATGAGCTTTAATCAGTCTATTAGATCAGAAATGCTTCTTGGTTCCCTAAAGAAGTTTCCTTGATTGAAAGTTCATTAGCTGCTTTTGTTTGGCTTGTTTGCTTAAATTAATGTATTAAATATATTTTGCCTGTTAAAGGAAAATCTTAGAGTTACAATTTACGTGTTTGCTCTCTCTTCAAATGAAGTGCTATGTGGTTGTATTTCCAAACATCAGCAAGCGTAGCTAAACCCTTGTCTGCGAAGTGGTTGTGAAAACTGCCACTTGGGAAGATTTGGTGACTAACTGAATTAGGACCTCCTACAAATGCAATGCTTTGAGACTCTCTAACCTCAGAAGAGGCTATTTCAAAAGCTGTATTTAGGATTTTGATTCATTGCTCTTGAACTTTAAGCACTGCTGCAGTGGCAGGGTTTTTTTTCCCTCATTTGGCATGCTGTAAATACGTCTGTGGGCAGGGGTTTAATGTAAATTTTCACTCATGTAACACAAAAATACTCAAAAACGAAAAGGGGCCATTATAAAGGGTTATATAAAGCAGTCTGTTGATCTTTTGACTTGCTTGTGTCGACTTCCCCATGCTTGAGCTCAAAATGGTGACAGTGTCATAGAGCAGAGTGTGTTTCCTTCATTATACCCTCTTCCACTCACTGTGGATTTAACCAGGTACTGCTGCTCTTGTGAACCCGGCTCTTTAGTTCAAGTATTGTGCCTGAATCCTCTGAACTAATGTAGTAGATGCTATTGAAAAACGCTTGTGTACCCGAGACTTGCAGTTGGTTCTCACAAGGTGTCTAACCTCATGGGTGACATCTGCTCTGATGCAAAGCCTCCTGGAGACCAGGGGGGCAGGGAGATGTCCTGCTTGGCCACAGCTGGAGCAGAAACCAGATGAAGAGGTTTGGGGAATTCTGCAGCCTTTTCTGCAGAGTCCATCCTGAGCAGACACCGTGCCACTTCGTTACAAAAAGCCCAAGAGGTCCTCACTTTTGCTCTGGGGTTACCTGTCAGTAGTGGGTGTACTTGTACTCCATAGCTATGATGTTAAGCATGTAGAAGGGGGCAAAAAGAAGCACTGTAAAGGAAAGAGCCTTGTCAGGTATTCGCCATATGAACAGGCAGATCCCTGTGCCTGATTCTTCTTTTGCAAGTAGATTCTCTCATTGGAGTGGAGTGGCATAAAGGTGCTGTGTATTATTAACATTTTAAGGTGATATCTGCCCTGCTCCTAGATGTGAAGATAACCTTTAAAAATTCTCATATGTAGAGTTAACTTTCGGTTTTTAGAGTATTTAAGCCAGAAGTTCAGTAAATGTTTCAAGGAAAGGATAACGCTTTATTACATTAAAAGAAAACAGAAGTTTTTGAACTGTTAAATCTGACAGATCTTTGGTGGCTTGCAAATCCTTTTAGTTTGTCAGGAAAATGTGAAGCAAGTGTTCAGGCAAGTGCTTATCTGCATGCAGCAAGCAGCTCTGCTGAAGTCAATAATGCAAAGTGATTATTTTTGCAATGCAACAGTGTCAAGTTTTTCAGATATTAAATACTCGCTTCATCCTTGCTCATCTGTTCTGTCCCACTTCCCTTTCTCAATATCCTAGATTTAAATACAGGCTAGCCTCAAACACAGTACAAAAAGTGTTGCCCTGTGGTAGTAATTTAGCATTATTTTTTTTGGAGCCATGCATGGGTATAAAATGAATCCAGCAAATCGAAAAACTTGAATAGGTGGAAATATTAGAAATGACATTGATTTTCACACATACATTATTCAGTAATGATAATCCTTCTATGCTTTTTGGTGTCTAGAATGGCTCTGAAAATATATAGGGCTCTGAAAACTCACAGCCTTACAGAGGTTTTTTTGCCTTTTTTTTTTTTTTTTGGTTTGGTTTGGTTTTGTTTTGTTTTTTTTTTTTTGGATAGAACTCTATGCAAAGCCAGCCTGAGTGATTCAAGTGTCCTGAAGTCTTAAAACAAAGGTTCAGCAAATGAGAATTTGGGAGCAATTTAGGTAAATTTCAAACCCAGGTGTTTACAGAATGGGAAAGTAATTTGATATAATTTACTTTCCTGTTTTGACTTGCAGCATTTACTTGTGTATGGCTCTCTGCTGCTGGTGCTGGAACAGAAGCTGTTTTGTGTGGAGAGACAATCTGCGAGTGTCCTGGTGGGGAGGCTCTGGGAGACGGGGGGGCTTCAGCACTGTTCAGTGTGCAGAGAAGGTGAACTCTGCAGGCTTTCAGAATCAATGCGACTGAGTTCCTCTTGTGTTTGTTTCTTTTTAGCCATGCTGATAAGTGGTTGAACAGTTTGCAACCCTGTGAATGCCATTTTGGTGTTCAAGCAGGATTTAGAAACGGACAGACACCAGTGTGCTAGTGTGAGCTCCTCATACCTCTTTAGAATGTGTTTTAATACTCAGTATTGTAATTCTGCATCACATTCTCTAGCTACAGTCTGCTGTCACATGGTGTAGGTGAAAGATGACCCTTAAAAAGTTAATTTATTCCTGCTTCTTCAAGTGGAAGAAAGCAAATTACCGTGCTTTAGTCAGGTCCCATTATCAAAGGTTGTGGGAAACACACAGTGGGGTAAAATTGGGCGCAAGAAATTCTTAAAGCCCCTGAGACATACACTCCACCTCCCTGAAGGACAATACAGCCTTTGAGGGCAGCAGGGGAAGGGGCTCCTGACCTCCAGGGGTCAGAGCAGCAGCTGGAGCAGAGTGGCTGGCCGGAGAGAGAGGCACTCTCAGCCATCACTGGTTACACACCCTGCACCAGTCAGCCCCGGCCGCGTCCCTGCCGGGGCAGCGCGCATCAGCCTGCGCTGTGCTGCGCACCCTCTCCTGCCTGGATGCAGGAGAGTGAAACGGAGACCTTAATGCCTGTTCCTACTCTCCAGGCTTTCCAGACTGCTGAAACCCTCCTTTAATCAGTGACTTTGGCTTATTTCGTTCTCTAGCCCCACTGCACTGTACAATTACTTTATCCCCAGGATTGCTTGATACAGGTTTCCATAATACCATGTTTTGCTAACCTCCTCCCCGCCCAGCTTCTGCGACAGTAGTTTTAGTTGAACAAGTACAGAACTTACAGGGTAAAATGATGACTTTCATCAGTTATTTGAAATATTCTATTTTCCCATACTTCCCAAGCAACTATCATAGTATGGTCGTTTGGGAGCGGGGATGATTGCTCAGCACTACTCTTAGAATGTATGGATAACTGTAATTCTTAGGTGTCTGGGGTGTATCCTTTTTTGCAGTTTATGTGTCTGTGCTGACACTGAAGACGATGAGTACATGTGAAAGAGTTGCCATCTTTGCCACACCTGATGATTTCAAAACTCCATTAGGAGAAGATGCTGAAACTGAAAACACAGTTCGACAATATCAGCTTTGCTGGGCAGATTCACGTTGTTACAAGCAGATAAACTGAGTGGGTTGTTTGTGCAAGATCAAAGGAAAATTGGATCGTGAGAAGCTGTTGTCCGGATAATGCTGACATCGTGTCTTTTTTTCATTAGGACATAATTGGATAGCGTTCTTAAGGGATATGGATTTCTGTGGTCCACCACTCTCAGCGGAGGGCCCAGAACAGGAAACAGGATGAAATATGCTCGTTTGTTGAAGTTCTTTGCCATGGAGAGGAACTCTTTACTTTGAGACTTTATCTTTCTGTTATACCTTTTAAAATGAAGCAATTAATGTGCAGTGCTTGTCCCACTAGTGGAAATTAGGCAGTGTGGTTTTCATGGATAGGCAGCCAAGTGCTATCAGGCTGTAAGGGCAGGAGGTGCAGTGCTGATCTTACTCAGTTGTCTGGTAGGTGTAGTACTGCACCGTACTGGAGGTGCAGTAGGGTAGCTTACTTACTCTGCTACTACAGAAAATAATCTTTCCTCTAGGTAGAAATCTTAGCCTTGGAGTTAGTGGCAGGGGATCCTTTTAGATCTCTTTCTGTAATATTTGGCTCTTAGTCTTTGCAGGTTGTAAATGGAGGATGTGGACTCTGAGGTCAGTGGTAGTAGAACCCTTTTGGAGATGCCCACCCAAAAAGAAGCTGTGTTTGATGACACTGTTTGCAGGCAGATTCCCTGAAGCTTCCTGTTTGCAGGAATTGCAAACCCTCTCTATTCAGCTGCGTTTTACATAGATACTTAAAGGCAGTAAAATGATTTGAAACATACGCTCATATAAGAATGGTATTTTTCCATACTTACACTACACCTAAATCTCTTTTCTCTGATATTTTGATGCAGTTTCAAGTATTTGTCTGGCACTAATTTAATTTTAAGACTGGATTGCTCAGTTAAGTTTTATACCCAGCCTTTGAACTAAGCAGTGCAGCCAGTTGGTGGTATATACTAGGGTGTTACTCCTCTTCTTGAGCAGAGAAGCAACAGGAATAAGGCTCCTATACCCACAGAAAGATCTGAACTTGTGTTTGAATATGCAATATTTGGGTTTTGGTGACTTCTAAGTATCAAGCATCCATGAAATGGGAAAATTTTTTCAATATTTTTATTTAAATTAGTAAAGCATCACCCTTAATCTAGATTTGACTTTCAGTAATTTCATGGATTAATAGAAAAATAAAGTATGTGAACGTGTTCAAAACACCTGAAATGCATACCTAACTGACTGTGCTTTTCCTTTACAGGATGTTGTCTGGGGGTTAAACTCTTTATTTACTGTAAGTAAATTAATATTTTGCATATCCACCTTCCCTTTTCCTGTCTGGTTTGGTTTCAGCATCACCTAATGTGAACCCTGTCTGATGCTTCTTAAACTCAAGATCATTATTTCCCTTGGCTTCAGTGGGTGTTGTACAAGCATGAAATCAGTTTGTGCTTTTGTTTCTGTATTACTGCAAGAATCATACAGATGGTCTGAAATGCCAGCTATTTTGTATGTTGCTTTTACTTTTAGTTACAAGTCTATTATGGGATATTTTGGTTACAGCTTACTTGGGATCTTCCACACAGTATGAAATTCCTCCTGCTTGTTTGCAGGAAATAGAAATTCATATTGGTCTGGGAAGGAATTGTGTTGGTGTTCTGTTTTTTTTTTTTTAATTATATTTAGGAATTAATGGCTGCTCTGCAGTCTCATTCCTGTTTTGAACACTTATATTCCTGTTCAGGGGCCTTGGTACCCACTTGCATAATTTGCATAAACCCTGACTTGTCACAGAAATTATATGATTTTGTTCAGGGATCCTATTTTCCCCCTTTTCCTTAGATTGACAGGAGCAACTTAAAAATGGAGGAGAAGGCACGAAGCTGCAAGAGACAGGCAGGATGTGACAGCTGCTTTTGCCCTAAAAGTCGAGAGAGGCTAAGTCTTCACTGCACAAAAGCTACCTTTTTTAGGGAGTTCAGGATTATGGTCCCCTTTCACAGCCATTATGGTTGGGTAGGAAGGTCAGGAGAAAGCAAAGAAAGGCACTAACGTGGCTGCCACGTTTGTCGTCAGCTCTGGAGGGAACTACCCCAGGGTGTACGGAGGAGGCTGTGAAAAGCCTTAGATGAGGAGAATCCCTGTGGGCTTTGTTAGCCCAAGCCTGTTTTCAGAGAGAGCAATTCCTTCCAGTGCTACCTGGGAGGAGGGGCTGAGCAGTGACTGCGCTCCCAGCACTATCACTGGGATCATGGTGCATTTCTAAAACCTCTAGCACAGACCAAGCCAGTGACTGGCTACAGTCTTCTAACTTTGCTGGCATCCAAAGGCTTGATTTACTTCGACAACTTCTTCGGTCAATTGATTTAGAAGATTGGAGAGCATTTGCCTTTTCAACAAAGAGTAATTGCATTTCACAGTTAGTCTCCCACTGCATGCTAAGTAACTGGAAGAAAGCGAAATCCACTGGAGGTACAAAGAAGTGCCTTCAGAAGCAGAACTGCATGTAAAAGTAATCTGTTGGACAAACAGCTGCAAAAGAGCGATGGTCACGCATCGGAGACCACGGGGATTTGTCCTGGCTGGTAAAAGCTGTGCTGCCCAGCTTGCCTTTTGGGTTTCCCTCACACCCAGCTGCTTATAAATAATTAGGCTTTGAAAAGCTGGCATTGGATTGTACTGGCCTTGCAGATTCTTTTGGGGTTTTCTTGAAGAAAATGAGTGAAAATGAGGTGGATTGGTGTCCTGGTTTGAAATGGGAAGTTTGCTGTTAGAAAATGAGTCAGAGAGTGACTGACATGAGCCTTTCACACTTGTGAAACGATGACATTTCACTGCTGTCACAGGCTAACCTTAAACTGGGGAAAGTGACCTGGGCTGCAGATGGAATAGGGGGTTTTGCGATTCAATTTTATTTTGTAATGATAATTCCTCTTTTATCAGCATCTTGCTTTCCTTTGATTTTAACCCTAGACCCTTTCTCCTTCCAAAGTTAGTATTTATTGAGATTAAACTGGCATACCTGAGATTTATTTTGGTTATTTATGCTCCCTGGCCCCACATGCCCTTAGATCCTATGGTCTTTGCACTCCCTTTCCTCTCAGCCCAGTTCCTCCCATTGCACTAAAACTTTCCTGTCTGTCAGGCTCCAGGTTATGTAGTTTCTTCACAGAGGGAATTAAATTGCTTTGCTATGGAGACGCTATTAAGGAAGCTCTTCCTGCTTTATCACCAGGCTGTTCGCAACTTGCTTTTTTTTTAAGGATTTACTTTAACCTGGAACAAAAATCAACAGGAATTGTGCATTCTGAACCTTTGAAGGTTCCCTCAAAATTTAATTTAAACCAGTTTTCAAATAAAAGTGCAACGCTGCCAGAGAGAAGTGTCACAGGGCTGGGTGTGGTGTTCCACCAGATAGGGTCAAATGTCTTGCTGTAGTTGTTCTTTAATTGACTTATGATTTGGTTTGCAGTCATCAAACTCATTTGCATCTACCTTTGTCAGAGATACCTGTCAAGATAGCGAGAAAACGAAGCTATACTTGCTGGTCTTGTTTGCTTTATTTCATTGTCTTGTTCATTAGGGCGTCGGATTCCCTGTATGATGCAGTGAGCGGGAACCCTATAATGTTCTCTGTTTCTTTTTCAGGATCTTTTGAATTTTGATGATCCTTTGAATATTGAGGCTGCAGAACATCATTTTCGTGACAAGGTGAGTCAGCGGTTTATTTAAAGCATGTTGTTCCTAAACAAATACACTTACTGTACTCTGCGATTCCCAGTCAGTCCTTTTAAAGCATTCGAGCTGGTATTTCAGGCAGCCAAGTGACTCATTGTATCAGCAACCAGTTTTCAAACAAAATGTGCTTTATCTGGGAAAGTAAACTCAACGCAGTAGCAGTATTCACCATGTGCTAGAATTGTTGACCATAATGTAGTCATATCGCCAAAACAGATGATCTTTTCCTTTGTGTTTCTGAGACTTTCCCTGAAGTTGTATATGTTCTGTGCAGCAAATGATAGTGATTTGGTTTGGTGCAGTTGTGTGAGTAGCCTTTACCTTAAAAGGCCTGCAAAAAGATCTCATAATTTTTTGTCTCTCAAAATGCAACTTCTTTCTTCACAACTCTTACATTTTGCGTGCTTTTATTGAGCCAGGAGAAATCTGGGCATGTTTGAAAGACAGGAGTGGAAACTTAATTTTCTTTTTACAGATCCTCTTTGTTCTGTGCACATTATGGACTGGGCAGAGCAAACCATGGTATTGATTAGTGGCCTGGTGAACATCTGTGAGATGTACCTCTCAACTGAGATTGAGCACAGAGGTAGACAAAGTACTAATTTCTTCATGGTATAGATCTCTGAAGTTCTGTCACATTATATAGATGAAGTTGTGTTACGTTATATAGATGCATAGCTCAAACATACAAAAATTGCGTGTGGCATGTTCAGGATCTCTTGTTTTAATTAAACTCTTCTGTGCTGGGTTGGCCCTGGCTGGAGGCCAGGTGCCCACCCTCTCCTCAGCTGGACAGGGGAGGGAAAATATAATGGAAGGTATGTGGGTTGAGATAAAGACAGGGAGATCACTCAGCATTTACCATCATGAGCAAAACATACTTGACTTGGGGGAAAAAAAAAATAATTTATTACCAATAAAATCAGAGTAGGATAATGAGGAATAAGACCAAATCATAAAAACACCTCCCCACCCACCCACCCCTCCCTTCTTCGCAGGCTTAATTTTACTCCCAGTTTCTCTCCCTCCTCCCTGTCAGTGGTGCAATGGGATGGGGAATGGGGGTTGCTGTCAGTCCATCACCCATTGCCTCTGCTGCTGCTTCCTCCTCGGGGGGGGGGGGGGGGGGGGGGGGCTTTTCACACTCTTCCCCTGCTCCGGTGTGGGCTCTCTCTCACAGGAGACAGTCCTCCACAAACTTCTCCAATGTGAGTCTTTCCCATGGGCTGCAGCTCTTCATGAACTGCTCCAGCGTGGGTCCCTCCCACAGGGTGCATCCTTCAGGAACAGACTGCTCCCGAGTGGATCCCCCACGGGGTCACAAGTCCTGCCAGCAAACCTGCTCCTGCGTGGGCTCCTCTCGCCATGGGGCCACAGGTCCTGCCAGGAGTCTGCTCAGGTGTGGGCTTCCCACTGGGTCAAAGCCTCCTCTGGGCATCCACCCGCTCTGGTGTGGGGTCCTCCCCGGGCTGCAGGTGGGCATCTTCTCCACCGTTAACCTCCACGGGTTGCAGGTGGACAGCCTGCCTCATCGTGGCCTTCACCATGGACCACAAGGGAACCTCTGCTCTTCCTCCCCCTCCTTCACTGACCTTGGTGGCTGCAGAGTTGTTTCTCTCTCATTCTCACTTCTGTCTTCTGCTGCAGGTTTTTTTTCCCCTTCTTTAAATACATTATCTCAGAGGTGTTCCCACCGTCGCTGACTAGCTTGGCCTTGGAGCTGGCCGGCATTGGCTGTGTCGGATATGGGGGAAGCTTCTGGCAGCTTCTCACAGAAGCCACCCGAGTAGCCCCCCCCGCTACCAAAATCTTGGCACGCCAATCAAATACATCTTCTGATACTTTTGTTGAAGTTAACCTGAAAGATTGAAGAAAGTTTCCAGGTTGATTTGAAGAGTTCATTGAAAATGCAGTCAGGCAGTGCGCCTAATTTATCTCATTTTTTCAAGAGGAAACATTAGGATTGCGAATTCATCTTTCTAGCTGTTTTCTTGTTTAATGAGATCTTGTAGCTATTCTGGTATTTGCCAGTGTTTGCAGGGCTGGGACAAGACTGTAAGCCTAAGGTGAGAAATTTAGTAGACACGTACTCTGGAAGAGGGTTTTTTCTAATGGTTTGGTTATATCATTTTGACAAACAGTGCCAGGAAGACTTCCCAGTCATAAAACACTGAAAGTAGTTACAGAGGGGATACAGCCTGAGAAACAAAACCAGTGTAGTGAAGGTAGCAGGCTGAAACATTTTCTTTGTTTGCATTGTTAGACTGAATTATTCTGTAATATCTTGCCAGGCAAGTTTGTAGCTCTTTAGGAATAGTGAGGCTACACACCATTGTGAGTGTTGAATTTGGCACCTGATTTCTTCTGACTGCCAGAGGGAAAGTGGTTTGTCTGTGGTGTCTGAGTAGGTCTTTGTAGAGTTGCTCCCATAGTACTAGGACAGTCTTGTGTTGGATGTGCTGAGGCCGCGATAGGCGGCGAGCCTTACCACTGCTTGGCGTAAATTGTTAGACCTCAGAGCAGCCAGGCAGTAGTGTCCTCTTCCCAAAGAGTGATGAAATGCTAAGTAGTCATTATCTCTCAACCTCATCCAGAAATTGGAAATCTTGGGAATCTGCAGAAAGGAAGAATGTTACCCAATTTTAAAACGGAGAGGTGAGTGCTCAAAGTATGCACTGCTACACTAATAGCATGGAAGTTGGGGGTTTGTTGTTGGTGTTGTTTTGTTTTGTTTTTTTTTTTTAAATAACAGCAGTGAAAGAAGTGAAAGGGAAAATGAGTATGTTTTTTGACAGTGTTCTAAATTAAAAATATTTTTGGAATCAACATTTTTTATTTAGTAAACTCTAGTCTCCTCAGATATCTGTAAAATTCATATTCTGCTATGTTAACTTTTTTTTGGAGCTTATCTGATTTTAGTTTGGGTATTTAATTGATAGTGACAGCACCAGGTAGTGCTGGATTTTCCACAGTATGTCTTACAGCAACATCAAGACAAAATGATGGCTATGTCGAGAGAATAAATTATGCGAGGGAGAGAAATGGCTGCTTTTACAATTAGCCTCAAAGGATGCAACTGCAGTGTTAGTTTTTCTGTCTCTCAGGCACGTAGCATATAAGCCCTTTGTTGTGAAGTCAAACTACTGTGCTCCTGTCCTGTCTCTTAAGAAAATACTTGCAGTGCCCAATATGATTAGTATGGGAATGCTAATGAATTTTCCCTGAGACATTTTTATCTGTGTAATACAATTATACAAATAGTGTATATGCAATATATATGCCTGCATGAACAATCTACAAACAGATGTGCAAATATATCTATATACAAATAGTTTTGTATGCAAACATCTGCATCTAGCAGATAATATAAGAGGATGCCTTTGGTTATTTGACAGTGTGGGAGTATGTGGCTTGTAACAGCCAAAACAAATGTACTTCTAGCTGTCTTCTGTGGCTCCCCTGGAGGAGATGACTCAGTGTTTCACTGATGTCATTTCAGATTTGAAATCCTGGGATCCCTTTGCTGACATTCCAGGCTAAGTGTGGCTGCCTGAGAGGTTAACAGCTAATCTGGAGCCTGCCTCTGGTTATTGAAAATACAAGACTAGAGTTTGTTCAGTTCTGCAGGCTGGTATTAAGTCATCAAAAAAAGGACTGCCGCCTTGCAGATTCTGGAAGAAATCACATCATAGATACCAAATCCTTATTATTGATTCTTGGAAAACAGTTGTGCTGTGAATGTTTGTGTTACAGATCAGGCTAAAAGGGACCGTTTTGATCTCTTCCTGCAAAAGGGACCTCTTCATTTTTGCATTAAATCTATGGCTTATACCTGAGCACCTGGTTGTAGCTCTTTGGAAAGCAGTCTTGTTCTGAGATGTGAGAATGATACAAAATTCAGAGCTAAGTTGTTCAATTAATTGCTTTTAAAAACTGTGTCTTATCTGAGATCTGAGTTAGTGCAGCTTCAGCTTCCAGCCCTGGGGGGCCTCCTTTAGCTAGAGGAAGGAGATGTCAGTTACTGAACTTCTTCGAGCATCCTTCAGCCAGTGATCATCAAGTCACTTTTACATGAATTATGTTTTAAAGTACACGTGATTGTTTATGCAGTTTTGGTAATTCTGCAGTTCTTCCCCACATACTTTGCAAGATGTCAGTAACTTTTGGAAGGTTACACATCAAATTTGGATGTTGATGATTGGCCACTTTCACAAATGCTAGACAAAGATTATCTCAATATTCAGCCTTGCTAGCCCTCTACTTACGTATGCAGAAAGTATCATCAGCTACAGAAGTGATCTAGAGATCTGTCTAGTAATTGGTTGTTTTCATCACAAGACCTTTCCAGGGACAGAGGATGGTGTCTGCCACTGTGTGTGACTTTTAATTAATTTTGCAGAGATAGGACCCCTGCATTTGTTTGCATTAAATTTTACTGTTCAAGTGATTTCCTGGTCATTATGGTCAATTTTGTAAGGCTTCAGTTTTGCCACTCTTGAGTTTTTCTTATGATTGTCATTAAATGATGCTGGGTGCTCCAAAGCTTAGTTACCCCCATGGTAATCTTTTTGCATATATGCAGTGAGATGTCTCCCCTTTCAGCTTATGAGCTCAATCTCCTGTTCTTGTCACGCACCTCCAAGAAGGCTCTGTCCTCTCAGTAACCTCCTTGTCAGTACGGGGGGCTGCTTTTAGGTCCCCCTCAAAAGCCTTCTCTTCTCCACCCACAAGCCCTGTTCCCTCAGCCTCTCCTCGCCCTAAGGCCTTCCCAGCAGGGCTGTCCCCAGCCCAGCATGAGGGACTGAACGTGTCCCAGCACCGGGGCTTTGCATTTGGCCGTGCTGGGCCTCCTGGGGTTGCTGTTGACCTTCCCTCCAGCCCACCCAGGTCCCTCTGGAGGGTGAACTCGCCCTCCGGCATGTTGACTGCATCCTCTTTAGTGACTGTTTCCGTAGATCTGGTGCCAGTTTCCA